AAATAATAGAAAATACTATAAATAATAAAAAAGAGACCTTAAACAACCAGAAAAAAAAACTTACTTTTATATAGATAATGAAAAAAAGTATTACAAGAAATATGCTCCAGCTACAAATTCTTCCAGATGACATAGGTAAAAGGGCTGATTAGTAAGTAATCAGGAAATTATGGATAAATGATCCAAAAGTATGGGAAAAGTGATTTTCCGGGGTTGGTAGGATGAACACGAAAGAACAATTTTCTGCTATTAGGGTAAGCTCAGAGCAGCTAAAATATCAGTAGGGTTGAAGTAGCAATGAATTCTGCCACAAGTGATGCAGCAAACTGGAAGTGTGCAATTGCATGATCTCTCAGGCTTCTGAATCTGGTAGAAGTTTCCCCATCACCTGTCACCAAAGCGTTTTACATTTTGGACATGTTTGACTGGTGTGAGAGAAATTCACCTAAACCCTTTTTAATTTTGTCTGATCTGACATCTCTTTGAAAAAATAGTAGCACCGCAGGGTCTGTTTCCCAAACAGTGTAAAAGCAATACTCAAGACACTGATATTTCTGATTATTTATTATGGCACTTTAAAGCATATAAACTCCATTTGTAGGTGTTTCAAGCCAGTTTAAAAATAAAATAAAATAAAATGAGGCTTTAAGTTTTAGGCAGTATTTCAGTAATTTTGGTTAAGAATTTTTAGAATGTTATTGCACAAGAAATAAGAATTTTGCTAGGAAAACAGTCTTCTCAAAATAAGGCTTTCTTTCAGCAAAGCATGTATGTATTTGCTTAAGTTTATCATGTCCGTTGGCTCATTAGCATATTTTTCAAATAAGAAAGTTGTGGATTTGAAATAGGAAAAAACAACCTAACTCCTGGAAATACATTCCTCTACTTAAACACCAACAAAGCCTATCTCTTATTTATACCTGCCCAATTCTGTTTACTTTGTAACATGCAAGTTAGAAACGACTCTAGAGCCTGAACCACGAATGTCAGATTTTACTACCCTAGCAACTAAGAATGCTGGTCAAAATTCGACTTGCTGTTAACTGTTTCTTGCCATATATTTCTTTATTTTGTAGTAGAGCCTAAAATCAAACTGAGTTTTCATAAAACCTCACTTTAGAATTCCACTATAGTAACAACATTTCCACTTCGTATATTTGACAATTTTATTTAATAGCCTCATAAGTTCAGAATAGTTACATATAGTTACATCATGGCTTTTAAAAAGGATTGCACTCAGCTACTCAGTCCATTGAAATACTAGAAAACAGGGAAAAGGAAAATATGGAGTGTAGAGGAACTCTGTCCACTGAACTGAGCTGGTTTGTAGCAAGTTCCTACTGAACAAGGTGACATCTTCACGCTTTCTGGTAGACTCTAACACACTTGACACCATTCATGTCACATTCCTAGAAGATAAAGAGATGGATTTGTTAATTTGCCACGGCGCAGACTGAAAGGAAAAGATCTTTTAGAGTTACTTTTCAGGCTACCAGTCAGCAGCACTCAAGGATCTGAAAGTGGGACTGGACTCACCACCACCAACTGCCCATCCACTAGTTTCCGTGTTATTATGGTCTTCTTGCCATCCCACTCCTGTTCCTGAATCAATGACCCATCATCTTTTAAGCTGACAAGGGTCTGAAAGAAGAACCCAAACGTTAGTATTTTACCCACCAACGTTTGATGGAGACTAAGGCTTTCCAACAACTTATTCCAAAGGAGAAATACCCACCCCAGCTCCCTCTCTCCAGATTTCACCACTGAATTCTACAAAGATAGGATATTATCTTAAATGTTTTATTGATCCTCTTCCTACAATACCTCACTGCTTGTTCCCCCACTGCTCTGACACATTCCTGCATCAGGCAGACCTCTGGCGGCATGCACAATTTCAATTAGCAAGAGCCAACGATGTTCTCCCTTCATCTCTTTGTACAGGGGCTTTGAGCCTTTGTGTAACGTTTATCTGATCTTGCAGTAATGGATGAATTGCCAGCGTGGGGCTGGAAGTGGAGAGGAATGGTACGGAGAGCACTCACACGTGGAAATGGGAGAGACAAATTTAAGGGCTTCTTTGTGTTTAATCTCTTTTTGGATTAGTATTCTCCCTACTCCATACAGGAACAAGCTCTTGGCCTTCTAAAACTGGAGATTAGGGACTCTGAATTCACATGTATGCCTTGTGTGCCTGCTAGCCGAGCTCTCTTGTTATGCAAATATGAGACTGAGCGGAAAGGTTAACCCTAGGGCTGAATTGCCTCTGATTAAACATCAATGGGTTTTTTTCCATGAGCTTCAAATGAAGTGGCATTCGGCTTTAATGGGGATTTAGAGGTCTGTTAGTTTTACTAACACAGTGCTTCTGCTACAAACTGAGAACAATAAAATACACAAGACATTATTGGTTTCATCGGTTTCAGCATTTTCCCTCTTTGGAAGTTGCTTAATCCACGAAAAAAAAAAAAGAAAAAGAAAAAAGAAAAAAAAGGAATTTATTTCAATGAGACTTACAGAGACAGTTGTTCAACAAATAAAGCACAGTTACTGTAGATGTCAAAACTGATTTTTAAATAGCATCTCCATCTGTAAAAAACCCAAAGAGTTGTGGTTTTTTTCAATAGAAAGTCTAGTGTACTGACCTGAGTTTTCCTGCCATCTAATGTATTTTCCTCAAATTTCTCACCAAGCTTGAAGCTGAACTGTGAAGTTTTGAAGGTGCTTTCTGTTTTTACGGTGATTGTGTCCCCATCCTTAATAATGTAAACATCTGGTTTGGCCATGCTTCCCATTTTTCTCATGGCCATACCCACACCTGCAAGGTGAGAAGCAGAGTGTCACAAAATCGGTTAAGCCCTAAGGGCCACACAAGAGTTCAAATATCTAATTCCCATTTAATTAGGCACTTAAGTACACTGGAGAATCAAAGCTCAAGAGCCACTAAGAAAGAGGATGTTTTAAATTATCCACTGATGAGGAAGGAAAAAAGCTTACTTGCAGGTTTATTCTTTTGCTTCCTCAGAGAGCTACAGTTAAATCTATTTTGGCCTCTGGAGGACTCGCAGTTGTCCCAAAACTCAGTGTTGAATTTTTACAAACAGAAACAAACAATAAACAGTAAAATAAACACAAAAATCTTGAACAAGAATTATTCCCTTCAAATTCTGAAGACTTTAAAAATTCTACAGATTATTTTTGACAAATTAATCTGCCTGCATATTTATTTTAACTTACTCAAGAAATATTTTGCCATCACTCTATACTCAACTGCAAACATGTAATTTTTAATGAAGTTTCATCTTCTACATCCTGTATCCAAAGTATGGACTCATAAATTAGAAAACCACTATCGTACAAAATAGTGCTTACACATAAAAAAAAAAACCAAACCAAAACAGGACCATGAGAGAAATGAGCTTTGCAAAGGACTTAAAATTCATCATCTGGAGACAGGAGCTCTCAACACTCTTTGGCAAACAAGTTACCCTGCCTCAGCCCCTGTGCACACTGTTTGAGGGCTTTCTTTGCATATTTTTCGTCTGAAGGACGAAGATATGAATTAGAGTGTAGTCAGGCCATCAACACAAATCAACAAACTGGGAAGTGCAGATCTGAACCAAGAATGGATAAGAAACCAAATGGAGAAGAAAGTGCCACCACGTCAGTGAGCTTCTGGGCTCTGCACCTGGTGCAGTTAGAAAATGTCGTGACGTTAACAGCACAGCACTCTCCTGGAGTGTACAGGATACTCGGGTGAGGGCTGAATCCACAAAGCAAAGATTGCAGTTTCCTTGGGAGGTGGAAATAACAAAGTACTTCCCAGCCGTTGCTTTTCCAGTCTCATCTGAGACTCCAGGACTGATCTTTAAACTTGACACTGCAGAGTAAAAACCAATCCTGCTCAGTCCAGTTTTCCTGACCAGAATGGGAAATTATTGTCACAGTGACCCCCACCCAACCCTTTGTAGTCATGGAATAGTTTCAGCTGGAAGAGACCTTGAAGATCATCGAGTCCAGACTTTGTCCCAGCCCTATCAACCTGCTAAACTATGTCCCCCAATGCAACATCCACCCGTCTCTTAAACACTTCTAGGGACGGTGACTCAGCCACCTTCCTGGGCAGCCTGTTCCAATGGCTGACAATCCTTTCAGTATAGAAATTCTTCCTTATATCTAACCTCAACCTCCCCTGGTGCAATTTCGTCCAGTCCGGGGAAATCAGTGAGTTATCTGATCAGCTACATCTTGGGATCCAACTACACAGAAAAGAGCCACATATATTTTCCATATGGCAAGGAGCAAAATTCAAACTTCTTCATCCTCGACTTTTATACAGACTGAGCAGAATCTGCACAATCTGTTGGTGCATCAATAGGATCAAAGGCAGAGAGTTTCCTAAGCAGTCAACAAGAGTGAGATCCAATAAAGGACTGGTTCCTAAAGTGTGACTTGAAGTAAATTTAATTGCCTAAATTGTAATTGTAAAAAGGAAAAGTGACGGGTTTAAGACTGTGATGCAAAGCAAACAAACAAACAACCAAACAACATTGGGTTACTGCCCACACATGGGAGGTGCTCGGCAGTTGCAGCACTTAATTTCTGCTTTGAAGTTGCAACTTGGCACATGCCTAGCCCTGGCTGTCAGACTGAGCACCGTGGCATCCTAATCCGTGGCTGAATGGAGCTGAGCTTAAAATTCTTGAATTTCCTCCAAAGTCTCCCAAAGGGCTCACTCCAGAAGGCTTTCTCACATCCTAGCTATCGCGTATTGACAGGTCCTCTCGCTAAATGCAATTACAGCCATCACATTCTGCAGAGCATAAATGCGGTGATGCCTTTTGTGTTTTACACGAAGAGCACGAGATCTAAATTCCTTCCTCTCCTCCCTCCAGAGACATTCAAGGCCACATCTTCCACCTCTTGAGAAAGTATCCTAGCTTTCAGCAGTGAATAAATGGCAGAAGAATAATAGCTCCTGGGCTATATGGACACTGCAAGGTGTCCATCACCTGTTGGCCAGGGTGCTCATGAGGAGGTGGAAAATCCGAACTTGCAGAGGAGGCTCCTGGTGTTAGGTCTGTTCTTGATTCAGTAACTTTATATTACGAAATACAGGGCAACCTGGAAGCAGAGGGAGCAAGCCAGGACTACCTCCCTGAGATGATTGTGCCACCCAGAGAAGA